TCACGCGGCACAGATGCCAAAATGCCATGAGCAAAGATTCACTTCGAAGCCTCACAGCTTGGGAGATGCAATGTCACATCAAGATGTAGTTTCAGTCGATGAGATTGAAGTCTTCTTCCGATCTTGCAGAATGCAAACAGTCAAGCGTGACTTGGACTCACTACTCGACCACGTTGAATTAGCTATTGAGAGAATTCATTTGTAGGATGATCTATCATAACCGGTGACAGACTGCAACAGATGCGGCAGTATACAGTCGATCTAGTGTGTATAGTATTCAACAGCATCTGAGCCATACCACTTAAGACCAACATCCTTATGGCTTCTGATCCACTTCCTTAGTTGGCTCTCCCCGAGACTATCCCATCTAGGATCCAGGAAGGTGGAGACACCATCATTCGCATCTCTTAGTTTTCTTAAACTACGAACGTGCTCAGGGATTACACTTCTGATTTCCGAGACAGTCATGTCAAGGGGCAAGCCCTGGAAGAATGGTATGCTGTATCTGTCATTGCTATCTGGCCCTGGCGCCACAACACGATGAACCGTCGCTTTGACTGCACCTTCAGTCGCGGCTTCGAATGCATTACCAAAAATGACCACGAAACTCCCAGTGATCGGTGATGCTGGCAGCCACTTCCCAGAAGACGAGAGGACTTCCAGGCCCTTCTCGTTGCCTACCTGATAAAGGAATGTAAGCCAGCCAGAGGAATCTTTGTGTGCACCGACTCCCTGGCCAGCATCACTGAAAGGAGTTGGCGGATACTTGACAAGCTTGATACGGTGTTGAGGTGCCAGGGGAGATTGCGATTTTCCAACTGTATCATTGTGATGGTTGTTTTCTCGGTCGTTTGCGGGCTGCACAACCATTTCGTCTCTTGAAAAGAAAGAGTCGAATGTGCCAACGGGTATACTGAACGCCTCCTCAATGAGATGCACAAACCGATAACTCAGCTGTTGAACAGCGTCATGGTAGCTCATGAAGGCATTCCGAAAACCCGGCACAAGATCTTCAGGTGGCCACTGGTTTGGGCCTCGCAGCCTCCAGAAGGACTTGGAAAAGTCTCTTCTCTCTTTGTGCTGAAACCCCTCTGAAGAGCTGTGTTCTTGATACACGACGGGCAGCTCAGTGGCGAAGTCAAATTGTTCTCTCAAATCTTGCTGGCCAAGAGTGACCTCTTCAGCGAAGCCAGAGTAGCCAAGAAAGTGCGGGCTGTTGAGTTTAGTTTGCTTTTCCTTGATCACACTTGGAAGGTCGAAAAGCGTAGGCAGCAACCGGGTGAGTCCATCTATGGCGCTGTGAGGGACACCATGGTTTGTAATGTACAAGAACCCGACCTCAAATAGGGCACTGCGAAGTTGCTGGAGCAGCTTATCTTTTCGAACAGGATCATCAGTCCATGACAGATCCAGAATAGGGATCGCTTCCAGTGATTCTGCCATCACGAGTGTCTAAATGGCACCCAGGTTGGAAACGCAGGTCAGACGAATGTTCATCTGATCAATACGCTGCTTGTATTGCCCAACGTCCGGCGCGATTGATAGTGACTCGTTGCAGTCCACATCTACCATCAACAAAACACAGCACCATTTTTGATTACACCCGATCGAAGAACCTACCGTAAATATATCTACAAAGGAGCATCGCATTCTCCAAGGACTCGTGGGAGTCTGCACGCAAGCGAATAGTGTGATGTACTGGAGCACGTGCCCGACGGAGATACGCAGCAATTCTCCGGCACGACTTGAGCTTCTGCCCCGCGTTGTGAGGTCTTGCCTTGCCTAAGGTTGTAGCAGCCGATCATCAGGCAGCCTCGCTGTGACTCTTTAAGAGGGCCTTGACCAACTTTAGGTAACGCAGCTGCCTGCTTATTGTTTATTACGCCCAGGTACTCCAAATCAACGTGCAACTTATATCACCTACTGTGGCACCTCCGCATCCACTTCCAGCTCCCAACCAACTTACTCAACTCTAGCCTGCGGACACATCATGCAGAACCTCATCCACACCTTCATCGATCCCCTTCGCGACCGCTTTGCACCTTTGAACCACACTTCCAACTTCAGACAGACCGGCCAGCTTACACCTGAGGAGTTTCTCCTGGCAGGCGATTTCCTAGTTTACCGGTTTCCTTCATGGCAGTGGGTAGATGCTGCTTCACCCGATAAGAGGGTCTCATACTTCCCACCAGGCAAACAGTACCTAGTAACGCGTGGTGTTCCTTGTAAGCGTCGCATCAAGAGCGATGATTTCGCTGGCAAAGACGAGGAGGAGCAGCTTGTACGGGACATGCTTGAAGGTCCAGGTGGCGATGCTGGCGGAGAGGACGATGGCTGGCTTAAAGCAGGAGGCAACGGTGGAGGTCTGAGTAAGAGCACTGAGCTAAGGATGCGTGATGTCAGGACAGTTGATGACCAGGGCGAGATGGGCGCAAAGGAAGAAGAGGAGGAGGAGGAGGAGATACCCGATATGGAAGACGAGGAAGATGACGAGGAAGCCATCATCAGAGACACTTCAGCAAGCAAGGGTAAAGACGGGTAAGCACGTTATCTCTTGCCACTGCAGTGAAACCACATTAACTTGGTAATTTTAGGCTGAGAACATACACACTATACATATCGTACTCTCCATACTACCGCACACCCAGACTGTACCTTTCTGGATACAGCGCTGCGACCAATCAGCCGTTACTACCACTCGACATGATGGAAGACATCGTTGGAGACTACAAGGACAAGACCGTCACGCTAGAGGACTTCTCTTTTACCAACCCGCCGATCAAGACGGCTAGCGTGCATCCATGCAAACACGCCAGCGTTATGAAAGTGCTTCTTGACCGTGCAGATGCTGCTCTGAAGCTAAGGATGAGCAAGTTGAAGCATGGCGAAGCTCCTAGCAGCCAGGGCATGGAAGGCCTTGTCGACCAGACAGCAGGTCTTGACATCTCCAGGGACAAGACTTCCTCACCGTCAAAGTCTAGCAAGGATGCCAGGGATGGTGAAGAGTGGGAAGTCCTTGACGAAGGAGACAAGGCTGAAGAAGAGGTGGCTATCCGTGTGGACCAGTATCTGGTGGTTTTTCTGAAATTCATGGCTTCTGTCACGCCAGGCATTGAGCACGACTTCACCATGAGTCTGTAGCTACGCTCGGGCCCCCCAGCACGGAGCCGCAGGCAGTGGCATCATGACGACATGCACTATGGAATCAATGGCGCGGGGACAGTTGTAGCTTGGAATGAGTGGGAACCTTGGAATGAGTGGGAAAGACTCATGGCTGGGATCGACTACCCTCGAGAGCTTGAATGGATGGACGTCAGGAAGATCTTTGGAGGCGGTATCATGGCGGTTGGAATGGACTAGTCTGGTGCTCATTTGACCCTCCATCGTCCTACTCACTAGATGAAATGTCTTACGAAATCTTAGCGGGCGTCTAGGATACTCACGATACCATTATAGGTTGCCAGTAACGCTGAATATGTTGATATACAACAAACTTGACAATTGAAACGTGATGAACAATGCCCTGTGTTTCTGCAATCTTGAATAACCCTTTGCCAAAAGTCGTGGCTAATGCGAGCAGCAGCTCCTGCGGCGCGGATCTTGTCGCATGTTAATCGCGACTTGCAATCAATAATCAATTTCTCAATAGCCAGAACTCATTCCATTCAATTTACGCCCAACCTTCTCCTGCGTGTCGCCTCGTAAGACTCAGCCGGGCAGTCGTGGAAATCTCATTCCATCATTCTGCCAACATCACATTCAAGGAAAGGTCTAAAACAGCCTAACAGCATGCCTCCCTTCGGTACGTATTTCTTTGTTCAGAAGAGTGGTATACAGCATCTATTGGGAGAGTTTGTCCTTGCACTGTCAGTTACTTTTGTTGCCGTAGCCCACCGCTGTAGTCAAGCAGACTAGCAAGTCATGGCCAATCGCGCAATAGCTGAGACGGTGTCCAAGAAAGTCAAAGAACGGGACAGCACGTCTACATTACCCTGCGTTTGAAGAGTATAGCATTCGAGACTAACTTCTCAATCAACCTAGAAGCTCAAACATCGAACACTCCCCTTGCGCCCTCCGTCGAGAAAGCCTACTATCGAAAATGTATCGAGCTCAAGCGCCGGCTAAACGAGGTTGAAAGCGCAAATGACGAGATGAAGTTCAAGCGTGTCAGGCTGGACCGGTCAATCATGAAGATGCGTTTAGAGCGTGCTTTTCTGCTTGAGCAATTGGAGAAGCGAATGCAACAGAATGCAGAGGCAAGCGAAGGTAGTGGCGACGAGGGCATGGCCACGGTATGGCTCCCATGACACATTGATGTTTGCACAAAGACAGTCACATACTGATATTCAACGAGCAATAGCCGCCGCCAGACCGACCACACCGCGACAAGCGCCGTAGAGCACCGCAATCGTCGGCTCCTGGCACAGGCCCTGCCGGCCCAGGGCTAACTTCCCAAACATCATCCTCCGGCCACCAGCACATTCAGCCTGCACCGCCAGGCCGCTCCTCGTCCTCACAGCAACCCTCGCGCCGTTCGCAAGGCAGCCTTAACGGACCTACACCACCCAGGGACTCAGAAGGTGGAGCGCCAGGTCATGGGGCCAATGGCACACATGCCGAGGGCGGCTCAGACGAAGGCGGGGCGCAACATGACGAGACCAACAGAGCGGCCGGCGCGACGGGAGAAGCATTCAAGGCTGGGCTGGAGGTCGGAACAGATGTAAACGGGGACCAGAGGATAGTCGAGGATTGATCGGGCCTCCTACAGAATTCGCGCCAGAATGTCACGAAGCCATGCACTGTACTATAAGTAGGTAACCAGCCAAAATTTGTGGTTGCGCCTTGCTACCACAACCCACAGCCAACGTTTACGGTCCAATCCTAGACTACAGATCTCGCTCCAAGTCAGTGTTACTCATCATTTTGTCTGTTACTATAATACTATATATAATATAGTCTCCAATCCCAGCACTTTAGGTACGCTTGCTCGTGGTCTTCCAGCGGTAGTAGTCTAGTGGTTATGATTCCGCCTTCCCATGCAATATATATGAGATAGGCGGAGGTCCGGGGTTCGAACCCCCGCTGCCGCATTTTGCTCGACGTTAATATCCTTTTTGTTGGCGGTGAGTTTATGCAGCGAGGCAGGGAAAATGCTGGCAAAGTTGGGGGTTTGGAGGTGACAGGTGTTTTGCATTGTACGAGAAAGCGAGGTTGCTTATTTGTGGATGTATGGGGGTGAAGCTTCAAGGTCAGGGACATAAGCTGAGCCGGATGAAGATGGGGATAGCTATTGGAGCACTACTAACTGTAAATTGCAAATACGCACACAAAGCAAGACCTGAAGCCAAGAACAAATCTGGCTGGCCGATAATGCTGTCGCGAAGCTCACGCATCTCTAAGGCACATTGTGAACATACAGTCACTTTCCTAGAAAGAACGAGCATCATAAGGTCATGATTGAAACTGAGACTCTGCAAATCGCTTTGGGGGTACAGCAGATATGATGTTCATGTGCGAAACAGCACCTCGCGCTAGTCTGCACTTTCGCACATGCGCACATACACGCAAGAGGTGGAAGACAAAGCAAACATATATATCTCAATCATACTTGGTATCAAATGAAATAAAGTAAAAGTGGGGAAACAGGCGCAAAATATTAGAGACTTTCTGCAGAGCTCTAGTCTGCTCTCCCTCCCGACCCTCGCCTTTTAATTCTCACAGGGTCACGCAGACTGGTCCAACTTCACAAAACAACGTAAAGGAGTTCAGCTGTCGTGCAGTTTTTGAGAAGCATGAGATGGTGGTTTGCTGCCACTGACGATATTGCGGGGTGGTGCTATGAAACTCAAACGGTCACTGCAACGATTAGCTCTTCCATGCCTGAGAGGTTGAGATTATACAAGCCGCCAGTCCTACTTGATCTTTTCGTCTCCAATGAGTGGTCGATAGCAGGACTGGCCGGATAGATAATTCATGGTCAGGTATGCGAAGATACTCGTGTTGAGGTGAATGAAGGAGAGGCTTCTCTAGTACCCGTTCATGTTCACCCTCTGGCTCTGCCTGCTGAGCTCTCTATCAGCGCTGGGGCTGATTGGTCGGCTGCCGTGTCCCTGCACCTGAGCGCTGCTCTCCTTGAGTGCCAGCAACTGCTTGGCACGGAAGGACTCGTAGTGTATCTGGGATGTGGTCTCGATGAGGTCCTGAAGGTGGGTACGGGTCAGGAAGTCGCGTAGGTAGACGAATTCACAGTGCTTCTCGTCTTCAACATTGATGGTGCCCCACTTGTTGACACGGGCTGGGACATTGCGGCCGTTCAGGTTGAGGGTCTTCTCGCTACCGACAACAGCGAACGGAATGATGGACTGGAGGTTTTGACTGTCAGTAGGTGGAGCAAATATAGCACTGCACGTTTCACAACCATACCTTGATCTGCGAGTTCATAGCAGCCTCCTCGCTATCGTACTCTTCGTTCTCGTAAGGGTACATCCTGATGTTGTGGAAGGCGAACTCCTCCTTGATCCTATCCTTGAATGCCTGTCTCTCTTCCAAGGTCAGGGAATCGGCCTTGGCGATGACAGGCACAACGTTGACGGTCTCAGACAGCTTCTTCAAGACGACGATATCGATCGGCTTGAGCGCGTGGCCGGTCGGGCCAATGAAGTATAAGCAGCAGTGGATGCGAGTATCCTGGATGTAGCGCTCACGCTGAGCGGTGAGCTCCTTGCGCAAGTAGGCAGAGTGCTGGTCCTTGATGTACTTGACAATTGGATCCCAGCAGCGATCATTGTTGACAAGATCACCGTAGCCAGGGGTGTCGACAATGTTCAGGCGCAGACGCACACCGTTCTCCTCAATGATGTGAGTGACTGGGTGGATTTCGGTGGTGCTACGAACAGGCTCATTTGGGTGGAGGCGGCCCTTGGAGTCGACAAGGTGAGAGGCGAAGATGGTGTTGATAAGAGTAGACTTGCCCAAGCCAGTTTGTCCTGCATAGAGGTAGAGGTTAGATACGCGCAACTTCGCGAGGCAGCCATTTCGCAGGCGTTGCGCGCGTGTATGAATGCCAGGTGGACGTACCAACACAGATGACATTGAACTGAAAACCTCTCTTCAGGAGCTTCTTCTCGATCTGATTGGTGATGCTATCAAAACCGACGTGGCTCTTTGGGAACACGCTCTGGGGCTGCTGCGATTGAATGGTGGATGCCATTGCGGATAGGCTTGTGGAAAGGAGATGTCGCGTTCTCTTGGAGACGGCGGCGGCGTCAGGTATTACAAGTTTGGTAGTAGAATTACAATCTTATTTAAGTGACTGAGGACGAAGGTAGAAGTGAGTGACACGACGCGCGCACACGCAGGATGATGAAGTGCAGAGGGCAATGAGGTTGTTGTGAGGTCGACTTTCGAGGGGGAAGAAATGGCACAGCGCAGCACGGATCTCGTACAGTATAGTAGCAGCAGGCAATATGCAGCAGCAAGGATATGGGAAAGGGGACTTGACTCTCCTCTTCTCCCGCCAGGCCAGGCAACTTCCAGTTTAGCCCCAGATTCGTCTAGGATTCGCTAACGCACAGGGCCTGCAGGGGCCCTGGATCTTGGCACCGTCTCTACCGCGAGGTCTACCGCCATACATACCTAGGCAGCCATACTACAGGTTGCGCCAACAGACACCCCCCCTCCATGGCAGTCGTTAAGTCTCTTTGATGTGAGATTGCAGTGTTTATTCAGTGTTTATTCAGTGCAAGTGGCACTTGACTTTATCGCTTATTTAAATGGTGTTTGATGATCACAGCAATGCAGCCGATCTTTCGGGTCTATTGTCCCATACGCTCACGTCGGAATATCGAAGCCGATACCCACCCTCCAATCATTGGTCTATCGCCTCCTTGAATCTGAGCACCGCGTTCCCTGAGAGCAGCCCGTCAACACCTATTGGCAGATCCAGCAGACTGGTAACTTCGTTCGACGGCGGAGAGAATGTCTGATCTTCAATAAGGACCAGACCGGCCTCTTTGATTGACGATATTAATGCTGGGACCAGGTCGAGTAGTCGAGAAGTGCAGATAAGACCCATGAAGTTGTTACTCTGTGCAACACGGACAGCCTCTTTGACCGATGAGCTCGTCCTTCCGCAGTTGGTTTTCGCCAGAGAGAGATGAGGATTGTTGCTAGGATTGAAATCGCTAGAGCCGAGGTCGTTGCAAAGTAGGACTGGATCTGTAATGACAGGTTAGTTCTTGATAATGAACAGAAAGGAACACGCTACACTCACAGTTCGGCTGCTTCCAGTTCAAGGTCATACACATGTCTGCGTTGTAACTTGACATCACAAAGCTCCTCAGCCCAAAGTTCCCTCCGTTCGCAGCGGTTGTTTCGCGTAGAAGACGAGCGTGCTCAAACACGACCCGTAGTATAGCGTCTGCAACAGTGTTTATGTTCTGCGTAGGTCCCAGTTGCAACATGTCCTCCTCTGCACGATCTGGGTAGCAGACATGCAGCTCCACATTGACTTCGGGTGGCAGAATTGTCAGCACATCGGAGAGAGCGGCATATGATCCGTTGAGGTGCGTCTGGACTCCATCTAGATTCCGTGATGCAAGGCCTTCCCCAACCAAGTCACTCAAACGGTTCTTACGGGTGTCCTGGGCGATAGCAGTCTCCCCATCGCTCAGTGACAGCAGGAACTCTTCAAACGTCAACCTGCTTACAAGTTCATGGCGTCGATGTGGAAGAGACCATTCAGGAAAGAGCACAGGCACGCCGTCTGACGTCACTTGTACGAAGAGACGTATAAAATCTCCAGAGAGACTGCTTCCCGTGATTAGATTTGAAGGATGGCTGTCGTCTTGGCTTGTTGCCTTCCAGTATGTAGCGAAGTGGGTGATCTCAAGTGGAATTCCCTGGAATGGCGTGATAACCTGAAACCTAAAACTGATCCGTCCAATTGCACGCAAGCGTGGGTCAAACAACTCCAGATGCCAAAGGCCAGTGCTGTTTTTCTCGCTGGTAAAGACTCTACTAGATGCGGCAGCTCGCGCGATAACCTTGCTGCCAAAGGTAGGGAAGATGTCGAAGTCTATGCTGAATGTCTCAAGGTTCTCAATCTGGAATGAAATCGCCTTGAAATCATCCTGGATCGGGAGCGGCACATTCCTTGGAACGAGGTCCGAAGATTTCGAGGAGATTGTCAGTCTCGCTGCCGGGTACTTGTTGTCGCCATAGAACTCGATGGATTCGCAGCCAAGCTTGTCGAATGAGAGAAGTATGAATGTCCTTGTCGTTTCAAGAAAGTTGTGCCCGTAACGTCTCAGAGGCACCATGGGAGGAGGTAGCGTCAAGTCTGGTATTGTTTCCGCGTCTTGCTGGGCAGGAGGTTGCAAGCTGCTAGGGGGTGGCAAGCCCACCTGCACTTCCATCTGACCATGAGCAAGTGCTCTTGCGGAAACAGATGCCTCCACGAGGAGCTGCATGCAATCAAGATGCCCCTCCCATGCTGCGTAATACACCGCCGATAGTCCTTTCTCATCGTCTATATCCGGATTCACACCTAAGCTGAGAAGCGCTTGTAAGCAAGGTATGTGGCCCTCGCTGGCCGCATGGAAGATTGGCGTCCATTGGTAGAGCTTGTCAGGCTGGTCCATGTCCACACCATAGGCACCCAGGCTTGCTAAGATCTGCTGGTTGCGACCGAAGCGAGCCACAAGATGCTGCGGAAACAGCCCTTCTGCATCTGGCAAGATGCGTGGGTTCTGTCGAAGCAGGAACTCGACAATATCCAAAGAACCATACTGGCACGCAAGATTCAGAGGAATGTGGCCCGTACTGCTATCTGGGTTTACGTGAGCCCCAAGTTCAAGCATCGCCTGCACACAGCCCGGGCGTGAGTGCACGATCCCATGTATGAGCGGCGTGAAGCCATCGATGTCCTTCCTGTCAACTGTGTCGCTTGCTGCTTCGGCCAGCAATGTAAGTATGTGTACATGACCATGCATGCTCGCATAATGCAGTGGGAGCCTGCCATAAACGTCAGGCTCACGGACGTTGGCAGCACGAGCTAGCGCAGTTCGCAGGACCTCGATGTTACCAATCG